GCCTAACTAGTCCTGAGTTACAACTATAATTGTATAATTTCTTTTCATCTGACAATTTGCATGTTGCAACTAAATAGTGAAGTCAGTATTTATTAATTTATTCTTTTAGCCCATTATGTCGAAAAAATAAAGTGGGGCACAGGGATGCAAAAGACGTGCACAATTTGCAGCTTCGATGGTGGAGTCAAGCAAATTGATGGGAGCTTTCCTTGCTGGAAGTGATGACACCAGTAAGCCAGCATCTGTTCCTTTTGATGGCAGCAAAGAGGTCAAAGTGGAAGATTGTGAACATGCTATTTCATTTGAAAAAGAAAACAACGAATAAACTGTTCTCTCTCCTGTTGAAAGCTACAATAATAATAAACAAGAGGATTCCACTTTGTCAGAAAAAATCCATAGAATAGTGTTGCTAAGCTAAAAGAGGATGACCTAACAAATATTTTAACACAGGGATATTGGATTTATGAAGTTTGATAAAACAGGCTTAGCAGTTGTAACACATGTACATTGCACAGAGATTGTTAAAGTTGGAGTACATGAATTTCAACATAAAGAAGGTTCAAATGATGCCTTCTGAGTGGACAAGCGGTCAATCATTCCTGGTTGGTGTATTCACCTCTACATAAAGCAGCATACTACTTTTGTTGTCTTCTTTTTTCATCTACATGTATGACAACCGATAGTCGGTTTGCTTTCAAAACACATGATGGATTCTCTAAGTGGAAAAAAAATTGAAAAGTTAAATGCCCATGAAAATACTGACAGTCGTCATTAGTCATTTGCTGCTTGGAAAGAAACTGAGCACCGTATTCGTCTTCAAAGTGGCATTGATGAAGAGCTGCAAAGGTAAATTCAGTAAGAAAAAAATAAATGAAGAGATGTACTGCAAAGGTTGCTGGATTGTACACAATATTTAGCTTCTTAGAATCTTGCATTTTGTGGTCATACTGAGGACATAACCTCAAATGAGAACCCTGGAAATTTCATGTCACTTTTGCAGTTATTAGCAAAGTATGATCCAGTAATGAGAGAGCATTTAAAACTTGTTAAAAACAAGCAAACGTCAACATCTTATCTTTCTCCTGAAATCCAAAATGAGCTTACAAATCTCATGGCTTCACATGTGCAAAAATTATTGTTTGTCAGCAATTCGTAGAAACAAATACTATGGTATTCTGTTTGATTCCACATCTGATTTAGCCCATCATGAGTAATTGGCCCAAGTGATTCGGTTTGTTGCCATTGACATTAAGACAATAAAAGTAGAAGTCAAAGAGTCATTTATTGACTTTATAGAGATAAAGGAAAAATATGCTGCCAATATTGAGAAAACAGTAAGCACAAAATTAGAAGCTGATGGAATTTTATTGAGTGACTGTTGTTCACAATGTTATGATAATGCTGCTGTCATGTCAGGTCATCTATCAGGCATTCAACATAGAATTGTGAACAAAAATCCAAAAGCAGTGTTTATAAACTGTGACAACCATAGTTTGAACTTAGCATGTCTTCATGCTGCAAGTCAGGAAAGAACAGTTATTACTTTTTTTGGTATAATTGAAACCATTTATAATTTCTTTGCTCATTCAACAACTCGATGGGACGAACTGCAGCAGGAGCTTAAGATTTCTGTCAAGTATGAATCAGAAACACAGTGGAGTGCATGAGAAAAGGCAGTAAAAGTTGTACATGAAAAACGGGATAAATTGCTAGGACTGTTAGAGCAATTAAATGAGAATGGCAACACGGCTGAAACAAAATGTGATGCTCATAATATTCTGCAACGCATGCTTACATTTGATTTACTTATACTTTTGCATTTTTGGAGAAATCTTTTTATCATTTATCAATCGAGTGCAGAAACGTCTTTAGGACCCAAAAATGAATTTTAGAGAAGCAGCTGCTGATCTTAATTCTTTGAAAGAGAAATTGATAGAATCACTTTAAAAGTCCTGTCAAGAATCACTTAAAGTGGGCAAAAATCAATGTGAAACATGGGGATTGACCATTGAAAGAAGAAAAATACATCATAAAAGAATGGCAGGTGAAAATGCAGCTGATGCTGGATTGACTGCTGAACAGGAAATTTATCACATTATGAAGGATGTTAATGATCGCTTGATTACAGAAATAACAGGAAGATTTTCTCGCTTACTAGATTTAGATTCACGGTTTGGATTTCTACTAGATGTGCAAAATATTGTTTCTGGAGATTTCGAAGATGGAAAATTGAAAGAAAAATGTTCTGACTTAGCAAAGAGCTATCCAGGTGATATTGATGGACCAGAATTGTACAGAGAAATTAAAGACTGTAGAATGTTGATAAATAAAGGAACACAGACCGATTTTCCTGAACCAATGGTTGCAACTGATTTGTTAACAATTAGGGTTTCTATTGCTAGTTGTGAAAGGTCCTTCAGCAACCTGAAATTAATTCTTACATACTTGAGAATCTCAATACTCAAGAACAACTTAGTGACTTGGCAATATTAAGTATTGAAAAAGACGTACTTAATACCTTAAATTTGGATAGTTTAATTGATGCATTTGCAGCAGCAAAAGCACGAAAGGTTCATATAATGTAACCATGAATACCAGATTGCTATCTGTACAAGCTCTAGTTAAGTATAGGTACAGTTTTGTAAACTAATAAGATTTGTTATTAGTAAATTTAGGTAGTATTTTATCAATCTGTTTTATAATCCATGTACACCACAACTGAGTGGCTTCTCATATAAAACATAAGTTTCAAACGAGGGATATAACAGAAGTTTATTCTGCATGCTTGAAAGATTACTCTAGCGATGTGACTTTGAACAATACTGGATGACATAAATATCAAAATGGTTTACAAGTTATGTAAGTACACCTATTTGGCTATA